CACACACACACACACACACACACACACACATACACACACACATACACACACATACCAAAGCATCAACGTAGAGCCCTGTCGTCACATTGCATCGCCCTCCACCAGATATTCGCACCTACAAAGTCCAGAGTTCGGACAAAACATAAAACAGCAGCCATTGGACATTTCAGACGCACTACATGACCTTCAAACTCGAAAGAACACCAATGAATGATGTCCCCAGATTTAAAAAGAAAAAGAAAAGCCCCCAGATTCAGCAGCCCACATTACCAAGGTACAATCGGCCTCGCTCCACTTGTCAACATTCTACTCGTACGTGGAACGTCACCTCGACCAGATACATTCAGACTAATCAATTTTTTGAATCGGGACAATGTGAAGCTCCAGATACATTTAGAGTGTTGTGCAGTGGAGCGAGACCTCATAAGAAACGAAGGCCTTGAAACTTGAAACAGTGATGCAGAATGACAGACACTAGGACCGGATTTTTCTTTAATTTTATTGTTTATTTATTTATTTATTTATTTACTTATTTATTTATTTATGTATTTATCAAATTTTATTTATTTATTTATTTTAATATTTATGTATTTATTACATTTTATTTATTTATTTATTTATTTATTATTATTATTTCTTTTCTAACTTCCTGTGATAGCAGATAGGAGTGATGATAAGAGCATGCACTCCTACCTGTTTCTCAGGGGGCTCACTAGGACCGGAATTTGACTGGAGTCTGGAGGAATGAACGACATTGGTCACAGCAGAACAGCCCCGAGCACACCAAGAGGGGTGACTCCGAGCGGCAACGGGAGGGGGAGAGCCCCGAGAGGGCAGTTACAGATGACACAGACAGGCGAAACAGCGCACTGGGACAGGGTACAAGGAGCGAGTTGCGGCAAAGCTAACTTGGGCAGAGAGAGGTGAGGGGAGGTAAATGACCGTATATCCTTCCACTTTGGAAGTTGCTGTAATGAATGCCGCCCACTCGGGCTTTCTTCTACCGTAACGGGGAGAAGTGTTGGTGCGTGTTCTATTCAGTGGTTTCACTTGCCGGTGGAAGAGGAATCGGACTGACGCTCCCCAGACTGGATATGGATTTGGGGCCATAAGGTCCTATTTTTCGAAGAGAAAAAAAAACACAATTGGTCACCTGCTGGAAACCGGGTCCTGCACCCGTTTTTGATACGTCGTGATTTCAGGTAATAACAAGCAGCCTTAGGGCGAGATCCCACTGGCAAAAACGATTGGAATTAAGTGTCTGAATCTGGACCTATTTGTGGAGAGGTGAAAAAAACTGTAATTGATCTGCGTTTCTGCATTTTTTCCAGGAACACATCCTGATTCAGACACTTATTCCAATCCTCTTTGCCAGTGGGATCTGGCCCTTAGGCTATGCTACGGCCCTCCTCTTAGGATGCTGCGGCTTAAACATACAAAAAAAAAAAAAAAAAAAGGGAGAAGAATTGTGCACCACCACTCCCTCCGAGCCTCTCTATTTATCGACCTAGCTTTCGGCTGCATGCCAAAAAAACAGAAATCGCCACCGGTGCAAAATATTTCCTTTTGCCTGGCGCCGCCCCCCCCCACCTTTTATTCCTGATAGTCCAGGCCACCGTTGTGGCAGGATAACCGCCATGTCAGAACAAAATCGCTGCGAAAGCGCCGAAAGGACCACTTTTGAATCCTAGGTAGGGCACCAGTCTATAGGCAACTTT